ACCAGCAGAACTGGCAGATCCAGCCATGGGAGGGTCACTCTGGATTAAGGAGAATCCTCTGGTGACAGAGACTGTTCAACAGCTCCTACAACCCACTCCTGTAGCCAGAATAGGGGCTGCCCTATGCCCTAGCAATCCCCCAAGAGCTGTAACAGCCCCCTGGGGATATGGGAAGCTAAAGTAAATTAGACATGAAGGCTGCTCTTATGCCAGATGACTGGGCCCAACACAGTGGCCCAAGATCAGGGGAGTGGTTAGGCTGGCTTCAAACTATCCTTGCACTCTTCCTCCTGAGCTGTGCTGGAACACTCCTTGACCAGAGTCAATATATTTACGGTACAGTTACATTAACTGGATTTTTATTTCGTCACTTGTTTAATCTGTACAAAAGAAAAAAAAATTACTCCCCCAGTTTTCCATTGACAGGAAGCAGTATTCTGGCTTTTGTCTTTCTCCATATCTACTAAGAAGCCAACGAGTCTGTCTGCATGAGAAATCAATTTAGTGCTCTCTGACTGAATGCAGCAAGAATTCTGTGTAGTGCTGGCTCTACCTGCGTCAGTTTCTTCGGGAGGCAGTACAGCTTTAAATCAGTCCAGGTAGATTAGTGCATAATTGATGCAAGTACAGGCTCAGCCTAGGAAGCAGATGATTGCTAAAGCAAGGCATCGAAGTGCACTGCTGTACTATTATGAATCCCTAACACACTTGCCTACAATTATACATCTGGGAGCAGTAAAGTAAACAGCTTATGCTAAATGCCTGCCATAGTGGTACGTCACTCTGAACTACACCGAAAAGCTGAGCTGGATCAGACAGGAACTGAGGATTCTTCTTCTTGATCACTGGGCTGGAACCAGTCTTTGGAATAGTTTACCGGTCCTGAAAACATTCTGTTCTGGCCTAGCAGTGTTTCTAGCCCTAGAATGTTCAGTTATTGGATTTTCAAGACACACAGTTCTGATTACATATTACTTTCTTTCTCTATTTTTCTTTCCCTTCCTCTTTTTCTCTTCCCTTCCCTTCCGACAAAACTTCAATACCCAGTATCTCAAGAACTGCTGGAGTCGGAGATTTTTACTTTATACTAGCCGTTCTAGAGAGACTGCTATTTCCTTTCCTCCTCCATTTCAATTTTGACATGGCTTCGGACACTACCAGAATGACAGGACGTTTAGATTCAGTGATATGGAGTGTGCCATTGGAAAGCAATGATTCAAGCTTTGCCAAGGATACCGTATCAGTTCTTATCCCTCACAGTTGATGAGACAGACCATAAAACTCTCACCGGCCCCTCAGTCGAAGAAGAGTTTTTTAGACACTAATGCAGTACCTCAGACCACCATTTCCAGTTCCCTGGTATCATAGCAGTCTCTGGATATTAACCTAATTACATATGCAGCTCCTAGTTGGAGATCTGACCACCACCCTGTGCTGTAGGGTTCACTCACGCTATTTAAATGTCAGTGGGTAGCATACTAGAGCCTGTCTACACTGGGGATATTTGTAGTGTAAATACAACAAGGAACCCTCTGGTATAGATGTGCTGCACCGGTATAAAATGAGGCTTCCCTTCAATGTGACTTACCCTGGTTTGAAACCAGGGTAAGCCACACTACTGCAAGCCCTGTATCATTACTTGTATTACACCTCAACCTAGGGTGTCTCTACACTGCAATAAAGCACCTGCAACTGGCCCATGGTGGCTGAATTCAGTGTAGACGTTCAGGCTAGAGCTGGAGCCCAGGCTCTGGAGCCCTCCCCCCCTTAGGGTCCCAGAGCCCAAACATCTACACTGCCGTTTTGTAGCCCCAAAGCCCATCCCCTGCGAGCCTGACACAAGTGTTTTATGGCAGTGTAGACATACCCCAAGAGGCCCCACAACCAAGACTGCCCCCCCCATCAGCTAAGCACTGTATCCACCCATTCTGTAGAGGTTTTACAATCTAAATAGAAATGACAGCAAAGTGCAGGAGGGGAAACTGAAGCACAGGTAGGTAAAGTGACTTGTTTATGGGTCACACAGTATCAGAGACAGGAACAGAACTCTGGTCTCTTGGCTCTCAGTCCAGCATGCTATCCAATGGACCACATGTTGGTAGTCTATCAAAGCAATTCATCTACAATGGGCGTGTGTAGAGAGGTCCCTATCACTTTTCTTTGACTTTCACAGATATAAGAACATCAATATTATAGCTTCCTCCTCTCTGTTTGATTACATAATTAAATCCTCTTAACAAGATCCATTTTATACAGAGAGGCTTCTTTACATCAATAATTAACTAAGAAGAAAAGTCCAGTACATCAATAAACAAAAAAGCTACAGAAAAGGGACTTTAGACTTTTTCTATGAAACACATTGTAACACAGGCGTATGCTGCAGCGCTCTGAGACCAGGTCTGGGAGCTAGAGTCTCCTGAGTTCTAATCCTAGTCCTTACAACTTCTCTACTGATACAGGTAAATCATTTAATCTATTTGCTTTAATTGCCTACTGGTCTATTTGGGATCACTAGAGGTATTGTGAGGATTAGTTACTGAAAAGCACTTGCATGGATAAACAAACAAACAAAAACAAACACACACACACACACACACACACACACAGAGAATTAACCGGTGGGACTC